ACTGCATGCTGCTCTAACGATCAGGGCGCTACCAGTATATCTATCTATCTAAATAGGTAGATAGATACATATGCGTCATGTTTTATGTTACAAATTGTATGTGCATATATAGTGTGTTATGTTATACAGGTACTATATTACCATATATTATATTACTTATATCACATTATACTGGTGTATAGTCTATAGATTTTGTTGTATTTTTTTATGTATTATGTTACGTTGTGTTTTATATTCCGTTCTTAGAGCCAAACCTCCTGGAGCTCCTTCAAGGAGAGAAGCTTCTGCGGCTCGAAAGGGGCTGGCGCTTCTCTGCGGCTGTCCTGCAAGCTTCCGAGGTTGGGGGGATTAAGGAGATTTAGGGTTTAGGGGTTTACAGAGCTTGGTTTTTAGTAGATTTAGGATTTAGGCGTTTATAGAGTTTACGACTTAATAGATTTAAGAATTTATATAAGGGTCCAGTTTCTAACGTGAACATTTGAGGTCCGCTGAGGTGCTGCAACGCTTGAGGTCGAGGCGGCTCAGGCCATCCGATTCGGGAATAAACTAGTTCGACTTTGCTACAAGGAAGGGCATGTTCTGTCTCGGGTTTGAGAGCTCGGGTTCTCCTGTACTTCGGTGGCAGCTTTTCAAAGGAGGACTTCTGAAATCGAGGGCTCGGACATGGAGGACTTGGCTTGCTGATTGGATCCATAAAGTTGGATATGCTTTGGGAAAAGCCGTGCAAAGGTCCAGCTTCGGCTGACGGCATGTCACGAACCAGCTATCTCTGCACCCTCATAACCCACGAATGTGTCTGTTCATATGGCACTGGCCAGCTGGCTGCAAAGTAGAATTTCGTTCAATCATGCCCGTGGCCTGGGCTGAAACACAACGTGCACAAGCACCAGCTACCGAACGGTTACGTTCCAGCTTGCATTACACTGAAAGCACCAGCACCAACACTGGTACGGACGGAGGATATCTTCAATTGCAGCTGTAGGGCAGCCCCTAAGCCTTTTCAAAAACCTCATGACCACCTCGGCGTGGACTGGCGGCACCAATGTCGGCGCTGGAAACGGCGAGGGCACAGCCAGGGGCACAGCCTGGCTCCCAGCAAAGTGAGGCTCCAGGCAGAAAAAGCCAGACAGACGTGCATCTTTATATGGATCGTAAGATTATGGGGTTATAGAACCCAGGTTTCTTAATCGGGTTTCTACATTAGTCAGCAAGCTTTCTGATTCGCAACAATCCCCTCCCGCGCAAGCAAAGTTATCGTCTCGAGCTGGCCACAGCTTTTCGCCAAAGCGAAGCTTCGTTTCTTTGGTTTATGTGCGCTCACGGAAGAAGAAAGAGAGAGCGTCCCAAGAACAACCGTACGCTGAAGAAATGGCGAGATAACATGTATGGCCTACCGATGCAACAATCTCCAACTTCGCCAAAGGATCTTTGGGAAAAATACCCGTCTATACTTTTCCGAACCATGAGGGCTTGGCTCAAAGAGTACAAACAGCAAACGTGGTGAGCTGAAGTCACCAGGGGCACAAATGCGGCATGCGCCAAGATCCCCCTGTTTTTCTGCTACTGAACTGGAAGTGAAGTCTAGCCCCCTCGAAACCCAACCCTAAACCCTAAACCCTAACAAACCCTGGATCGCCCTTAGAAACGCCTCATCCGGGACTTTGGGAATCGCTGCGCCAGGACTTTGCGGACTCTGCGGGGCCGTACCAAACACCAGCAGCGGAGGCCTCAGTCAGGGCTGAGGGTTTCTTTGGTTCTTGTTGTTTTTTCTCTGGGTGGTTTGGGGGTTCAGGGTTCAGGGTTGGGGTTCATGGTTTTAGCGCTTAGCGATTTTGGTTTTGCAGCCTCCAGAGAGAGCTTGCGGAATTTCGGGGGCTTCGCCATTGATAGGTCTCTGCTGTTGGCCCGCACATCGCACAACGCTACGCTAGGTTTAGGCCTCAAGAACCTCGATTAGCTCAGGGTCTAAAGGGCCGTTGATTCAAGGCTAGGAGACGCCGTGCATCTAGTTATATAAACAAATGCAGGATGGTGCAGGTTTGGCGGGCTTACGACCTTGTCGTCCGTTTCGACGGTCGGGTCCAAACCTTGCAGCTTGATTTAGGGACTGGCAGTGTTCACAGTCACAGAGACAAAACGTTGTCTTTGACAAGGTGAATTTAGCGATTGACAACGAGTATACAGTTGACACAAGGGTGTCCTTGTAAGATAGTAGAGCTTAGAGGCTTAGAGGAAGCGGCGTTCTGCGAGAAAACCCAAGACCCAAATCCCGAACCCGCGACCACAAAAAGCCAAAAGAAAAGCGAAACTCAAAGCTGAGAGCCTAAATCTAGCCCCAAGCCTAAACTTTAGGGCTCGGGGATGGCTTTGGGAACCCCGACACTATCCCTCATCTAAACATTAAACCCCAAAAGCCTGAAGCCTTAAGTTCAAATCCTAAAGCCCTATAAGCCCTAAACCCTAAGTTCAAACCCTAAAGCCGTATATAAACCCCAGACCCTAAGTTCAAATCCTAAAGCCATAAACCCTAAACCCTAAGTTCAAACCCTAAAGCCAAATTCCTAAAGCCCCCTTTTCTTAGACCCATACCCCTAAAGCCAAATTCCTAAAGCCCCCTTTCCTTAGACCCATACCCCTAAACCCTAAGTTCAAACCCTAAAGCCCTAAGCCCCCTTTTTTTCACCCCCTGAAAAGCCCGCCTTGGAGCTTGACTTGGTCTGGCATGGACGGGTGAAACCTAGTTCATGGTTGGGATAGGATTAAAGATTCTGTTTGTTATTCCTTATTGGGTTTAAGTACCCATAAAGATGTAAAATGTTACCCAACTATGACCAAGAAACCGGGAGCCGCCTCTGCGGGGAGACGGAGCCTCGGCGGTCGGGAAACCCCAGAAAGAGCCCCTTAAAGGAGGCCTTAAAGGAACCCCCGAAGGAGCTTTTAAAGGAACCCCAAGAAAGGGGCCGTAAGAAAGGGGGGACCCAGGGGGTTAAGGAGTATACTGATCTTCAACATCTGTTTTATTCTAATCCGGAATTCTACTGGAACACTTCAGATTAGTACTGTACGTAATTTTCACGGAAGCCCTACTCTGGATTTCTAGTGATCAGCATCAGTCAGCGTCTCAACATGATCACGCAAGAGATGATGGTGAACATGGACCATGTGTAATTATTTAGGGTCTAGTGCTAGTGGAGGAGCCCGAGCGGCGAAACCTCAAGCCTCATAGCCCGCATATCTGCGTGTGGCAGTGTCCGGACTTCTGTCCGAATCCATTTGTATTTTTCTGCTGAAACCATGATAACATTTATGCACGAAAACATCCGAACGCCAACAGCCGCACCATTCTCGCGCAGAGGAACGACCTGCGAACTTTTGTTGCGAGCACTCGTGTTATTTGTTGTGTGTGCCTTTGGCCTTCTGGCCAAGTTTTTCCGTGAGCTTTGGATGGATGGATGGATGGATGGATGGATGGATGGATGCACGGATGCACGGATGCACGGATGGCTGGATGGCTGGATGCAAGGATGGATGGATGGATGGATGGATAGATGGATGGATGGATGGATGGATGCATGGATGGATGGAGGGATCGATGGATGGATGGGTGGATGGATGGATGGATGCATGGATGGATTCACCGGCATAAAACCTCGTACAACACACCACGGTATTCTAAGACACAACCCAAGCGGAGATCATGCATTTCTTACTTTAGATTTCAGCTCGGGAGCGACTCTCCATGGGACGGCCGCGCGTGGCACTTGCCTTTGCTGCTGCACTTGAGGGCTTTAGGGTCTGGGGCTTAGGAAATCTACACTCAATGCCTGTGCGTTTTCGGATTCGGGTCTTTGCTCTCGCAACTCGGACAAAGCAGGCGAGGATTGTTCGGTTCGAAGGGCGGGCTCATTGGCCTAGGGCCTAGGGCACCACCCGAGGGCACTTTCAAGGTTTCGGACTCTCACACTCGCACACGGCACACACGATACGTCGCACTAGAGTCTAGACTAACGGCATCCGAGCTGCCTCTGCGAAACACACAAAACCACCAAAGAAACGACAAAACACCCTGGTACCTTTTTGCATCCAGGCTCTTGAAGTCTTGCCGGGGAACGGCAAAGGCTGTAGCACTCGTGGCAACACACTCACGCTGACCCTGGTACCTAAAACCCACAACATAGCCATGTGCAGCAGGGCAGCAGCACATTGGCCGCAGTAGAATGTGCAGCAGCCAGGTAATTACAACAAATTTGCCAGTCTATAGGGATCCCGGCTGCCACACAGCATGCCTACGCTGTCAATGTCTGCAGGGTGCCATTGATCACTCATTTTGCGAGTTTGACCAGCCGCACAACTGCACAGCCACCTCGACATCGATGTCGAGCTTATTCTGCGGTTCGGGCTCGGAATTCTAAAATGGCAGGCCGGGTGTTGCCTTGCAGGATCTATGTGGGAATGAAGCCGATGCCTTAAGCGTCCGGAAACAGTTAACTCGCAAAACGGAACTGTATCCCCATAAGCCCTCACCACTCCGGTACGACAACAGGTGGGAAAACCGTGTCCCTTAAGGTACATGGAGTAAAAGCCCACCAAGAGAAGGAAAACCCCGGCAGCGCAGAGTGCGGCTATGCCGCCCCCTGGGCAGACGCGAAGATAATATGAACCCCGGCAACCCGGGGGTGCCACAAAATGCAACAAAGCCTTTTCGGCTTCTGTCCTGGGGCATGGTCCTCCAGGTCTTCTAATTAAATAACTGCTTTCAAAGTCCAAAAATGCTTAGACTCGGCTGCCCTTCAAGGGTCGTTTCTGTGATGGTCCAGTCCGCAGGGTCTTCTCCAGCGTCTAGAACCACCTCCACAAACTCGTCCACGTCAGCACCTCCGTTGTCGTAGTGAAACTCATTGATCCTCCTACTACCTGCTACATTGCAGCACTGCCTCAAAGCACCTTTGGCGTTGTCTGGCCATGTTCGGCTCAGCTGTGTTCGGCGCCCAGGGCTCTGGTCACTCGGTGTCCGCGATTTTGTCGTGGTCCACCTTGATCGGGAGAGGGCAGCTGTGAGGCGGCGCCACCGCATCGAAGGGGAGCTGGCCCTTTCCGCACTGCATCGGCACCGGATCGGTCGGCAGGAGCATGCCGGGTGGAAGCACCGGGAATTTGGCCGGCGGCGCCACTTGCATGTTCATCTGCAGGGGCTGCGGCGGCTCCGTATCTGGGTTTGACCTGGCGTCCTCGTCCCCGTCATTCGAAATGCGCTCCGCCGCTGCATCTGTGGCGCACAACTCGAAGGTGGCGTAGGCAAACTTCGTGATGCTCAGTAAGCTAAGCGCCATCGAAAGGACGGCGCTCCAAAATCCCCACCGCCGCGTGACCCGCAAGAAAGAATAGTACTGCAGCATGAGTGACAAGGGCGCCTCCGTGGACTTCTCGGAGCACAATGCTTTGAGGAAGCCGTTGCTGGGGAATCCTTTTTTGCGTGATTTGGCAAAGCCGGCGAAGGCCTCCACGAGTTGGATCTTGCCGCGATAGCAGTCCAGCAGGACCGGCACGACGATGATGCATGCTTGCGCAGCTGCCAACCAGTACTCCTCCCCCAGGACCAGCTGTGCGAGGTTGTTCCAGTCGGTGATGTAGTCCGCCATGAACAGCAGGAACTCCATGTGGAGGGTCAAGCGGTCTTTCGCCGTCGGCTTCAACCTGCCTCGGTGCATCTGCCGGCGCAAGACTTTTGCCCGGGCCTCCACGGCCTGAAGCAGTTCGGCATCGGCAGCAGCGGACCACAAGGACCCGAGCCCCTCCGGGCTTCGGGCGGCCAGTTGCATGCTGAGCACCACCCACAAGCCGAGCGCTGCGATGGGCAAGAACGTAAAGACGCGGCGGGCCATCAGGCATAACTCCCATTCTGCACCTCCTCCCATGGCTTTGTGGAGCACGCACATTGCAAAGCCGGCAACAAGGCTGTTTTCAGTCCAGTCTTTATGACGCTGCTCCAGGAAGGCTTCTGCGGTGAAGGAGGCCGAGTCAAGCCCAGCACCGGAAAAAGCGTTGTCACCACAATGTATCCGCAGCCTGCTCGGAATCAACGAGGAGTTGCACGAGCAGTGCGACACACAGTATTGGCAGCTGCGCCTGCGATACCTTCACCTCGATCACGGGCCACCGCTAGCACGTACTGAGGCATGTTATCGCCAAATTGCTCAAGCAACACTGTGCAGTCCTGTTCCGTTTCAACTCGAGCAGAGTCAAGCAGGACTCTGCAATCAATTTCGCTGCCAGGCATTGAAGACATTGTTTCAGAACATGCACCATTCATGTGATTCACACACCTTTCAGGAAACACGGTCTCGGCGTGCCAACGGACGAAGGATGCCAAAAAGAAAGCGCAGCAAGCAAAGCGCAGCAGTGTCTGCGGGAGGTTAAACCAGACAGCTCTTCGCTGATCATCGCACAAGCCGTGCCTGCTGTAAGACTTCGGCCACACTAGGTACAACGGCATCACGAAGAGTGCTTCCCAAGAGCCGTGTTGCCAGTGCCTGAAAAAGGCGATGGCCAGCAGGAGTGCCGCAGGTGCCGCCAGGACAAAGCCGGTGCTTAGCACCGCACATTGCACGAAGCACAGCAGGGACGTGGCCTCGAGCAGCACAAGGAGCCACACGCTCCTTGCGCTGGTCGCGTCCTTGCCCACTTCCTCCTGTGCGGCGCGCTGCCAGGCGTGCAAGGCAAACTCCCGCATGCTCATGGCACGGCAGTCCCACCGGAACCCTGAACTCGAAACTGTCTGCAAGGCTTCCAGGTTCTTCATCTTTGTCGACATGAAGATTGATATTTTGTTGGCATGAATGTGAAAAGCATGACCGAAGTTCCCAATGTAGCAAACACAGGCGGCTTTCCTCACCCGCAACGAACCGGAGAAGATCTGTCGGTTTTTGTCGGGGTTTAGGGTTTAGGCTTTGGGGCTTAGGGCAGGCGATGATGGCAAAACATGTAGCTCCCTCTGCTCCTCGGTGCTATCCAAGTAGGCACAAGAACATGCATTTCCAGCAATTTCTTAAGCTTGTCATACGAAGTAATCAGCTCAGAAGATAAGACAAGTTGCAATATGCATCGGCAGCCCGCGAATGACCGAGGGCACAGCCGTTCGGGTGAATGGGACCCTTGGAGCCGGGGCCGGTGACGGTGGCACAGGGACGCCTTGCGAAGGAAGATACAACCCTGACGAATTGAAAAATGGGCAGGCCGAAAAGGTTACTACCGGATCGGAGACATGACGGTACCGCTGAAAACAGCTGATGACTCTTGCCCCCCCCTTTTTCGCCCTCCTGGGAAACATGATTCGGGCTTCGTGGATGTAAGGCATGCATATGACATGCATGCAAAAATACGCGAAGCCTGCTTGAATTCTCATAGGAGGCCGGGGTATGTAGCAGAGGGAAGTGAAAGTGCTTCGCTGGGAAAGCAAAGAAGGGCCTGGCCTGGGCTCGCCGAAGCCAGTGGAGGAGGGTTGCTGCAGCTCCGATGCCGCTTATCCTATACTGATCTAAGACCCCTAGCGAAAATCACAAATTCAACTGTTTCTTAGGGATTAATCTTAGACAGCTTGCAAAAATCACAATTTTAGCTGTTTCTTAGGGATTAAAGTGATTAGAGGAGCCAACAAACAAAAAAAACATATATCAAGTACCCCTAAGTCTCCGGTGAAGGCGAAGGGGATGTCGACAGCTTCTGCTTCGCGTGGGTCTCGCGAGCATCTGCTTCCATCCTGAGCGGCTCTAGTCCTCTTCTCGAGCATTCGGGGGCGCAATGATTCCAAAGGGGTTTTGGGGGCATCTTGTTCTATGAATTCGGGGCCGTAATGATTCCAAACGGCCCTCGAAGCCTCGAACCTCGATTCAAATGCGACTGGAGCAGCACGGCCAGGAGCATCGCCTCCATCCTGTTCGTCGGGTAAAGCTCCTCCGCTGCGGCGCAGGAGCCCTCGTTGTCTGCAGAGGTTTCGGGTCGTGGAGAAATCCGCCGTGGCCGTTTCAGGATCTGCCGAAACGGGAATGAGCGGTACAGCGACTTCCTGCTGTAGGACGTGGAGCAGATCGCGAGAAGCCGAATAAAACCATGTCGAGAACAAGGCACGGGCTTCGGCTACAGTCTGTTTTGAGTGCAAAGGCACCGGGGCACCGTCAAACGCTCGCAAGCCTCAGCCAACACACGGCGCCGAGTAGCGCGGCCTGTCAAACACGAGCGCGCGGGACTGTTTCCGACACTTCCACATCGCGAAAACATGACAAAAACAATCTCTCTGCGAAAGGAAAGTGCATTTCGAACGCCACGTTTCGCTGTGGCTTTGAGAAACCTTTGATCCTTGGGCCACTGACCTGACATTCAACTGGCTATTGCTAGTGCGGGACGGTGCAGATACCCAGATGTCTCTGACCTCCACCACAACTTATACCGCTCCTGCCACCCCTTCCCCCCTGTTGAGCATAACATGGGAAACCCGCCACGGTCCACCGGCAGGATGTTGCGACTTAAAGGTCTGAATGGTCTTGCGGAGGTTTTCCCGCAAACCCTCTCGGGGCTTGAGGAGTTTAGGATGTTTCGGCGTATTGGGTCAAAGGACTTTCGGCTTCAGGGCCTGGGACAAGCCCATATCTACATGAACCCTTTTTACGACACTTTACGTGCTTGTTTTCGACCCTCAAGTGTCCAACCTTCGATCGGTCTTTAGGCCATCAACCCAAGCCGCAAACATCGCAACACAAACCCCAAGACGCCCAAGGCCTAGAACCAGAAACTAAACCCTATGCTGGACGCGAACTCCTCGAAGGATACTCGATGGGGGCGCGGGAGGGCATGCAGCGCCGACTGCACCATCGGAGGTTCCATCCAGGCTTCCTTCTGGTGCAACAGTTTTTTTCCCTCCTACCTAGGGTGGAAGAGTTTAGGGTTTAGGGTATCCGGAGCTTTAGGGGCGTTATGTACTTGCATCATCCTACCAGTACAGCATTTCTAAGCGTGGACTCCACCTTTCGAAGCACAACTCGTAACCTGAACTCGCAGCCCTGCGTCATCCTAAAGCTCACCATTCTGGAAGACAGAATATAACTCAATGAACTCCGCTGCACATAATTACCCGATGCCCACCTACCTATATCCCTATAGACCCTAATTTAGGGTGTGGGAGGAAGTTATACTATAAGCATGATAAGGAACCTATCTATCGACCGACCTATCCACATAAACGTGACTGGACGTTCCCCCAAGCTCTCACAAACAGTGACTTCTGCTTTGATTCCTAGATCAAGGGCCGAGCGCTTGTTGTCCATACCCTGTCCGTTACACGATGGGCATTTACATTTACTCAAAGGGAAGGTACGGAACAGCGTTGTTAAGCTAACGTTTATATCTAGAGCCATCCAGACACACACGCACATATGTAAATCTGTCGTGATTTCACATGATATGATAGTGCAATATAACATAATATCATTACATACACTGCCACAAGCTCCTTTGAACAGTTGTGGTGTTGTACACTGCAACTAGCAATTGTGAGCATAGTACTTCCCACGCCCCAAGTGTCATTGCGGCCAGAGCCGGAGAGGTAATCGTCCAAAGGTTGCTTCAATGGACCGTCCACAACGAAGGGCTCCAAGAAGCCACTACGTCCTTGGAGGAGCCAAAAACCCCACAGCACAGCGCGCTGCATTTGAGCTCTGCAGCCCCTAAAACTGAGCATGTACGGCCTACTACCAGTAGCCAAAACTTGACGTGCGTGCTCCCCGGAATTCGCCGTCGAAACCCCCCAAGCCCAAAGTCCCGGCGACAAGGGTCCTGGAGCCAGCTGCAGCTTGACTGCACGGCCCTTGACCTGACATCTTAGCAGCTAACACAAAGTGGGAAGGACTTCGGGTTTAGGAAGCTGACACTCGTCATCCGAAAAAAAGAAGAACTGTCCAAAACATTATCCTGCGACCTATCCAAGTTTGCCCTGACCGGCCTCTGCATCCAAAGTTTGAACGGGAGAAACTCCAAAGTGCGGAACGTTTTTGCATCTGGACGCCGTGAATGACAGCCAGACACCATGCAACAACCAACGCACGGGAGGAACAAAATGGACAAGCCTTCTGCTTGAATTCCAAGACCACCCTAAACTCCCGGCCAAGCCTTCTGCCTAAACTCCAAGACCACCCTAAACTCCCTTTTCAGCATGGGCCTAAACCTACGCCCTAAACCCTAAACTCCTAAACCCTAGGCCCTAGACTCCATAGGCCTCGTAGAGATTCGGCCCCCGCTTGGCAACCTCCTGCTGTGGGAATCGCAGCCGAATGGCCTTCACAGGATGGCTGATACCCTAAACGAAATTTGAATAGGGTGCCTTTAAAGGGTTCTTACAATGGGGTCTGTAAGGGTTACTATAAGGGTTCAATATAGGCTAGGGTCCTTCTCGCCTTCAATGTTTGAGATGGGCTTGCGGGGTGTCGGACCGACGTAATCAGGTGACCGTGCACATCCACTCAGCCATTCAACACAGACCTCTCCGCATCAGCAACCCAGCACAGGAACAAATGGCACCCCTGCAGCGGACTTCCCCACCGACAGCTATCAAATCGTGCTGTAAGTTATAATCCTCTATTCAAGATGACTGACACATTTCTGAGGCAGACTATTCCTCCTACTGTGCCGGCAACAAGAAGTCCGCCTGGACGGCAGCATCCAGCGCGGCTTCTCCCATGGCAGTGGACATTTACATTTTTGGGTAAGGCTCGAACAAGCTGTTTGCTACACTTGTGCTAGTACTTTGTGGCCGTTAAGAGCCACAAGAGTGGAACGGTGTTGCTTCGCTAACATGGTTAACGTGTTCACTCTAGACTCTAGACTATGACATGAGTCTACCGAGGCTCGCAGCTTAGGCTTGGGCATGGAGCTGCTGGCTATGGGCTCACCACGATTTCTGAAACGCACCGGGCTTGCACAGGTATGCTGTGGGAGCATCAGATAAAACAAAGTGGCTTGGACTGGCATTCGGACACATCAGTTCAAGGATAGAATCCAAACGTATATACGTTGCATAGGCGGCTGTTCCAATCCACCCAAACATGCTGACTCCTCGACAAAGCATGCTGCTAAATGTTATTCCTCAAGGCTTACACCTAGTTAAAGTGTCGGAGGAACTTGAACTAGCTCTTCTTCTCTCGCTAGTATCGCGCGAGCCCACCATACACAAACAAACATACGAACAAACACACAGAACAGAACAGACCGGTTCCAAACAAAAAAGAACAAACACTCTTGCACACGTGAGCGCAAACACACACACACACAGAGGTCTGGTTCAGAGTCATCAGACTTTAGCTCTGCGCTGCGAGCCTCTGTCCAGCGGAGTGTTGTCCGAATCGGCGACTCATTTTCAATGCCGGTCCCCCCCATGCAGTTGAGAACTAAGAGCAGCTTAAACTGTCAGAACTTCCCGCCGTACTTCTCACAGGTGATTCGGAGAACAAGTCTACATGCGACCTTCTCTGGGCATGTAAAACTATACTTTTGGCTAGTAGTGTCTGGTGCTCATACTATATCTCTGTCTATCCACCTGTATGGGTGGATGGTCATGTGCTACTTGTTAACTACTGTAGTTGCACTACAGCTATCACTAAAGCTACCGCTGCCAGGTTGCTGGGATAATGTTCACCATTGGCCACTGCACCTCTTGTCATTGATTACTATCGCCAATACACAGCTGAGCCTCCCTGCACGGCAAGCCAGCTCCTTGTTGCGCTGCCTCGGGTCGCCAAAAGATGAAACCATGCCGTTTTAAGCAGGATTTAACGTTGCGTCACTGGACTGGGCTTTCAAGGTACTGGAGTACCGGATGAGTGCCAGGAACCCCGCCATGAACTGCAGTTCTCAAGCCAACAAGCAAACTGCCCCTACGGTGCCGTCAGCCTCTGACCAACCAGCACCTCCCGAACCCTAAACATCTAAACCTAGCACCCAGGGCCTCAGGTCGGATCAGGCTCCTTTCCAGGATTTTGAGCGCAGGGTTGAGGGGGCCTATAAGGTCTGGGAAGACATTCCTTGAGTACTTTTCGGTCAGAGGCATGAAGACCGGGCTTCAAAGCTACAGTATCGTGCACATGGGGTTATTGTGCCATGGATGATGCCCAGATGCTCCAACTCTGCCTTCTCGCGACCTGGCCACTTGCGTTGGCTTTCGGGTTTAGGATGGGTTTAGGGCAAGAGGACGTCCGCAGGACTTATCGCAAGCATACAGGAATGTCTCTGAGTTCTCAAGAGCGCTTCCATGAATGTAAATCCACAACAGGGCTGGCTCTTAAGCTGCAAGCTGGCCTTCGACAGACACTCGCTGGAACTCGATCTCCAGGTTTTTCTTCAGAGCCTGCGACTGCCGGGCTGAGACGCGTAGATCCAGGCTTCACTTGCTGAGATTTAGGGGAAATAGATCCTTCGGAAATGGCTCTTCGGCGGGCTATCATCTGCTTTCGGTGCTGACCCGGCCTGACGTGCCTGTCAAACTGACCTTGGGTTAGTAGGGAATGGAGGAATGGGGTACAAGTATAACTACTATTACTACCATTCTTCCATTCCCTACTAACCAAAACTAACCCTTATGGTAGTTATAGTAGCCCTGAAAGACCCCTTTAAAGGAACCCTATTCTAATTCCCTACTAACCAAAGGTAAGCAAAGTGCTCCAGCCAGTCACGAAGCCAGGCCTCGTAGTCCTTCGACTTCTCCTCGTAGCGCAGCTTCAGAGTCTTCAGTACTTCCTGAGCAGAGAAAGACATGTGGGAGTTTCCGAAAATAGAGGATCCTAGAAAAGTACCCTAAACAGTAGGATCCTTACTACAAGGAGCCCAGAATAAGGTACCCCTAATTTTCGGAGACTTCCATCTAAAACCCAGGCTACACTGGTATGTTGACTCTGGTTCTCTGCAGGGGCAGTGTCCAAAAGTGCTTTTCTCCATGACCGCCCGCCGACTAGTCCCATGCAGCAGACAGGGTAGAACTGTTGCTGTAATCTTTTGGGAAACACACGCACATTTGCATGCTCAGGCTACTCCCTCGCGGCTGCCTTCGCGTAGAAGGGCTTCCCACGAAAATCGTCGGGGACTGGGCCGTCCTTTGGGTCCTGTAGACCTCTGCAGGCTAACTCCGGGAAGATGCGCAGGGTGCGAGCAGCCTTCAACAAATGAGGGCTGCTTTCGATAAAGAAGCTGTCTTCCAGGATCGCGCCGTTCGCATGTCAGTACCATCTCCTGCCGAGCGCTGATGGACAGCAAGACAGATCCTGAGAACATGAAAACTTCCCCAAGTCCCTCAGAAGGCTGCAAGAGCTGCATGCAGACCTGTGGTGAGCCACTTGGACACGGACGAAGCTTAAGCTTAAGCCCTCTTGCCTTCAGAATGGCTGCATCATCGAGGCCGCCAGATCCCCAATTCGGTGAGGATCACATCTTTCCACCGGGAGCACGGCGAGCACGGCACCTCCGTCCGATTCGAATGTTCCGCAGCAACAGAAGGGCAAACATTTTCATGTTTTGTGGCATCTGAAGACGTGCACAGGACCGACAGATGCAATGATCCTCCGAGCACCGAAGTACAGTTTGAACATCTGAAGAACACATGTCGACTACTCCACGTGTTCAATGTTGCTAGCCTCTTTTATGCGAAGAAACAAAGCGATTCAACGAGTGCTTCTTTCCACATTTCAGTCTGACCCAATAGCCCTGCCATTGTCATTACCAATGGCAGTGCCACAAAAAACAGGATGTGACTGCTATGATTTATGTCGAGTATCTGCACTCATTGACTTTGCTCAAGCGTCATCAGGATGTGGCCGCAGCGCGCTCAGCTCCTGCACAGCTGCGAGTGCTTTCTTGAGAGTTGTCAGCCGCGAAACTTGCTCAAGGGAAGCAGGCTACGTCGGCTACATTCTCGAACAGAATCCGAAGTATGAGTGCCACGATGATTCTAGTCGTTGGGCGCAATATACAATAAAGACCTCAAGAAAAGGTACCCCTAGCTTTCGGAAACTCCCATTTGCTGCAAACAAACAGCCCCAGTGCCTCCGCTCCCCGCGAGAACGGCGGCAACTCCATAGGCCCAGCTCGCCGCCGACTGCGTCAGGGTCTCCTCTGAATTCAGGTTTTGTCGACACTCACACTCGGACAAGCCTGGCAAGGTCTGCAGAAGTAGGTTCGGGTTGCTTCGTTAACCTCCCATTAAGTAGGTTTAGGTTTAAGGTCTCGATGGTCTTATAAAGGGGTTCTAAGGTTTGGCTTTTGGGCTGAGGCTGTTGCCTACAGGCGTATGGCTTCGAAACTCAATGGCTTTCGCGTTTTTTTCCCTTTCGGGCTTAGATTTTAGTGTTATGATACTATTGGTTGCTGAAGCAAGCACAATCAGTATAGTCATACTCACTCCTTCCGAATGCCGACGCCTACCCACAAGGACGAAGACGACAGCTGCAGCCCCTGGCATTCATAGTACTCTTCTTGCTCCGACTCCGCGTGGTCTAACATCTCTCGGGTATGCATGCACCCTTCTCAGATTCTGACATCGCAATCAACTCCAACTTCTACAGGCAACTCGAGATTTTTGTGTTTCATAGGACTGCTGGCCGTCGTGCTCTTGCCCATGCTGCTTCTAATGATCGCGAAGCATGACAAAGCAGGCTGCACACTTTGAAGGTGAATGCACAGCCCCATGGCTTACCCAGAGCTGCTCAAAAACGGTCCAAACACTCCCAACTCACTTAAGGCAGTGCAGCCGGTCAGGATTCTTGGACCACACCCCTCGTCTTATCATGTTAGGGTGCGATTTGGGAAGTTCGCTTTGGGACACCCACAACACACCCCAAAGCATATACCACTAGTGGCATGTCCACATCTGTGTCTGTAGGCTTCCAGAAGCCAAACGCGGTAACCCTTTCTGCAACAGGCTTCGCACTTCGCCCGGAGCCCGTAACCCTGAACCCAGACCCCTACCAGGACCCCCCAAGTATCCTTTAAAGGGCTCCAATGCTTCTCACTCAGAGGTAATTAAAGCTTACAGTAAATGTAGGGTAGTATTGGTGGGGGGGGTCGAGGTAAACCCCAATCCGCCCCCCAAACTGCCGGCCTGGTTGAAGCGGCGCATGCCGCGGGAGGTCGCCTGCCAGTCGGCCCCCTCCGGGGTAAAGAAGCCGAAGAGCCTCGGCTCCGGAGTCTCAAAGGCTTGGGGGTTCCTTTAAAGGGCTCCCTTTGAAAGGTTCCATAAGGGTACCATAAGGGAAGGTTGGGCTCCTTGAAAGGGTTCCCTTTGAAAGGTTCCATAAGGATACCATAAGGGGAGGTTGGGTTCCTTTGTTGGGTTCCCTTTGTTAAATTCCATAAGGGTACCATAAGGGGTCCGGTCGGGGGTTTTAGCTTCGGATTTATGTTCAAAGTCTTGAAGGGTTTAAGATTTAGATTCGAGTTTGGGTTTGCTACAGGGTTAGGGTTAAGGCCTTGGGTTTAGCTTTGTGTTTATCTTCAGGTCTTGGGGTTGCAGGTTAAGGGTTTGGTGGTTTATGAGTTTAGGATTGTGGAAGGGTGGTCCGTGCTTTCCACAATCGCACTAAGGGATTCTCATTTCTTCAATCAAGAGCCACATCTTCTTCTACTTCAACTTTTCATGTTTAACTCCCTTGGTTAAGAAAGGGAGCGCAACATTGAATTTAGTTGGTGCCGGAGGGTCGGGATGCCCAGCAGAAAGCAGTGAAGGCCCACAAGTGACAATCAATGCAGCGGTGCACAACCACCCGCACGCCCCACCATCCACCGCCCTGAGCAATTTGGATGATCTGCAAGAGTTGCAGAAACTATGTGACTACTAAGGCTAGGGCAGCTAGGGGAGACCTTGCAAAACAAAACCTTGGTACTTCTGATAAGGATTTCACTGTTCTCAGGCCCCGCCAACCCCCAACCCTTCTGGCTTCTGGTTCTGCCACCGAGCAGAGGATTTCGGATGCATCTGCGAGTTCCCAGTACATCTATCTCTTGTCTCAGTTGCCTTTTGGTAATTTCAGTCCGTGGGGGCTGCACCGAGCCTTACGAATGGTTTTGTAGGATGGTGAATCACACGCTCGGAGGACTTTCTTCTTTTGATGATGGCTTTGAGCCAAAGGGGCTCATGCAGCGAGTCATGCAGCTCAAGGATATTCCGTTAGTTACAAGAAGGTCTTGTATTGAAAGCTTCAAGTCAGGTTGAAGATCTGGGATCATCCTTAATCAAGACTGTGCTGGCGGATGAAGGCCTCTTGCCGGCGATAGGCCTGGTGTTGAACTTCTGTACTGGTTACTGGTACTGCCATCAGCATCCTAATTCGGTCAAATCCATGAAACTGCTCCCAGTCGAAGTCACCACTGCTGGGAATCCGATTACACGTGTGTGCCAGCGGGTGCAGATACGACTGTTTGTGTGGGTCATAGCACGTCGCAATCACAATGTTGCTGGCTGCTTCTAGGACACTCGGCGACGCTGCCGAAGCCTTGTGAGAGGCTGCAAATGAATGTGGAACTTCCACTTTTGGGAAGATGCTGACTACAGAATGGGAGCAACTTCAGACTACAGATGTCGGTCAAGGCCTTCCTGGCCCTCCTGGCATTCACCTATCACAACCAAATTCCTGAGGAGCCGGCGGAGTATGAATGGAAACTTGGCAAAGTCCGTGCCTAAGTCCATAAGCAGCGTTTAGAGGCCTCAAGCCTCGAACTCCACTTGCTGTTCGAGTTTGCGGTGTGCTGGCTCTCACATCTACCAACATTGAAGGGGCTGCACAGCCGAATGACCCGCTTTTTGTGGGTTTTGGCGGGTAAAACCTCGAGAACGGCACCGAAACTCCAGAAGATAGCCGCCTTCTTCGAGCCTAATGGCCGAATGTAGAGGGAACATGGTGAACGCCGTCTCTTGGTCAAATGAGAATTTCAGAACGTCCAGATCTGACATGGCAGACCTACTGGTCGGGTATCAATGGGAACTAAAGGTTAACCTTTTTGGTTATATAGGGATTATATAGGGACTATACTACCCCAAGAAGGTTAAAGGTTACCTACTCGACTACTAGGCAGAGGTGAAGTTTGATGACCACATTAAACTCGTGCAGAAACCCCAGCCCTAATCCTCCTTCTGCAATGTTGAAACTTTCTGAAGTTCGCTCTAAACATTTCCGAAGGTTCATCGGATCCTGAAGGTCTTTGAACATGATATACCTGCAGACTGGTTGAAGGCCTCAGACTTTGGGAAAACTATGATCTCTGACTTGGGCCTCGTGGAACTTAGGATGTTGGTGTCGGGTCAGGCGGCCTAGGCGGGCCGGGGCTACCGGGGGGGGAGAGCTGCAAGATGAACTGTTCAAGATCGTATACCAAAAGTGTTGTGGGGGTTCCTCAGTATAATTAGAGTATAATAATGGACCCCAGAACCCCATTGAAATATTTTAAGGCCACTAAATCGTGAGCTCCGGAGAAGCTGGGAAAGACTGACAGGATCCTTCGCAATCCAGCGGCGCCAACTCCACTGGCTGCCCGCCTCGGATCTGCTTCCCAAGAGTTCTACGGCAGTAAAGCTCCTGGTTATGCAACCAACTCCCGGCGAATCCACGGCACTTCTCGGATGAGTTCGTGCTACGTGCTGTTCAATTGCCCTATCCTTAACAAGTTGAGCCACGTAGAACCACTTCTCCGGCTCCATGGAAGGCACGAAGGGAGGGCAGCCCAATCCAGCGCCAGGGTAGTTGCCGGATCCTGGGTTCTGAGCATACACAAACAAGAGCACATGTGTTTGCTTGAACATATATATATATACATATTTATTTATCTGTTTAAACTTGTATAAATACACAAACACATATACATATACATATATATATACACATATCTCTCTCTCTCTCTCGCTTTCTTTCTGCCTGTCTCTATCTGTCTGTCTGTCTCGGTCTGCCTGCCTGCCTGTCTGTCTCTGCCTGTCCGCTGTGTCTGTCTGTCTGTCTGTCCGTCCGTCCATCTGATTCTGCCTGCCTGTGTCTGTCCGTCTGTCTGCCAGACTGCCCTTTTGGCTCTCACTTTGCACGGCTGTCGCCACCACATTGCCAGACGGCCTTGAACTTTTGTTTTTGTGCATAAGCGGGTAGTATGATGACGTGGGGTGTCAAGAGATACTATTACCACATTTTCAAAACAAGGCACGTAAAATCTAAATATGTGTGTCAGCAACTGGAGGTGAGCTTGCACTGGGATTGCAGTGGGGTTCAGGGCTTGGGCTTTCGAGATTTGTGGTTTCAGGCCTTTGGATTTTCGGCTGCGGATGTTTGGAAGGCACGCGGGATCCTTCTTCTACATGGTTCCGCAAGTATGGCGCATGTTGAGCAAATCTCATCGTGCAAGTGCAGGCATTCTGTTTCACAGTGAATCTGAGGTGTGGTTGTGCCGTGCATGTCCAGTGCTTGTTGAATCTTGGAATTAAACCCGTCACTTCATGTTGTTACACATTCTAAAACCTCAAATTCAACTCCTAACAGTACGAAGTTGCCTCAGAGTTTCACGGTGCCTGGCACTACCTGGCCACATACAACACTTAGAGCCTCACAGTGTCGAATTATGTGGGCCATGGAAGACTAGCACGGCGAAGCAAGAGGCCGGCGGCAAGATAGGCCCTAAACTAAACAGCCAAGAGAGTTTAGCCCAAAGGCCGTCTGGCTTCGCCCTGACGGCATGGTATTCCGCCGCACCTCGGGGATATGACTCTTCCCGGAAAATCCAGCATCCCTCGTACATCAGTATGAAAGGGTTCCTTATTGGGGATCCTTGGTGCGGTATGTTTACTGGAGTATTCCTTGATGTGGAGTTCGGACTGTTAAGGCTCTTGGATATTTCAGGACCTCCCAGCAGCATCTCAAGCATGCCCAGTGCACGAAGCGGCTCATTCAGTCTCCGCGGAACACTAGCATGCCTAACACATATTCGACGCTTGGAACATGGCAACATTCGGAATTTCGTCACCTGAGCCGAAAGTGTTCCAGCATCCTTCGGCACAAAGTCCAAGGCACTGTGCAGGCCACGGAAGACAAAGAATGGCAGCAGCCTTTCGTGAGGCAAGAGCAGTGGCATTCCTGAGCTCACGTCGGAATGCTGACGATGCCGGTACGACGTCCCACTCGTGATCCTATAGATCTTCCAGGGGCAACCTACAGGGACATCCGGCTGGGCTCAACCCTCCCAACTCCGAACACTCGACCGCAGTGACCCGTGCGTACTACTGTCACTTGTGTTCTTGAGATGACCCTTGCGCACTTTGCCTGAAGTCAGGGCAGAGGGTGTAAGCTGTCAAAGCGACAGCAGTCGGTTTGTCCAGCTTCCAACCGGTGCTGCTGGCACTGTGCTCGCGACAGTAACTGATGCCAGGAACTTCCTCGTTCTTCGGCACTTCTTGCATTGCCAAACTGCCCGCGTTTGCCAGGAAAGTGAAAGCACTTTTCGGCTGGCCACTCAAAGATGCGGCAAGACATCAGCCAGCACAAAACGCCAAAGCTGTCCAGAGTCTCAGTTCTGAGTTGCCCACCCCTTTGTATGTCTACAACGGCGGCAAAGCGACTGGCAAGAATGTACACCGCCTTCAGCTGCCGTCTGAAGAAAACTTTCAGTCTGTGAGCAATGCCGTTTACCAGAATCCTTTGCCGTACTTTCCTTGCACACCATTTCTGACTTCGAAGATTTACGGAAGCTGGACGAGAAGCCCATGGAATAGAGCTCGTAGAAGATAGCCAGTGCCACGTCGTAGGGATATAGCCTGTGCTGAAGGGGGAACACCAAGCAGACGCTGACGCCAGACCTCAATTCACCCCCCCAACCCCTACACTTCCACTCGCTTTCGCCCTTGTCCAACCAGCCTACTAAATCAACCCCTCCAAAATCACAATACACACAACAACTCGCAAATCCAACACCGAAATCCCAAATAAAATCCAAAAGGAAAGCACCTCCCAACGCGGCACCACACCACACTCCCAAGCACAACACGAAATCCGAGGTACCGCCCTTACCCAAGACCTCACATCCTATCTCCACTAGAAGCCAAAGCCGCTCACCCAGTCCACAATGCACAACCAGATCAGTTCCACAACCCTAAAAGCTACAGCTGCCTACCTCCGTGCGTAACCTTAAACATTCTGCCGGGATGTCGGCCCTATTCGAAATTTGACCCTGAACCGAGACCGAGGCAGAACAAGCCTAACAAATTAACAATCATAAACAAGGTCCAGAATGTCTGAACAGCTGTTGCAAAGGCACGTGTTCCGTTTGTCGCCGGCTGTGCAAAGCTCAGGAAAGAGGGACGGGACACATGACACGGACCACATGGGTTGTCATGAACGTGTGGATGCAAAACCCACAGAACAAGGTTCAACTCAACTTATGAAGGATAGGCCGTATCCTTCTCGCCTCATAACTTCCGTCGGTCCGCCATGGCTCACTTATGGAGCGAGGCGGCCAACAAAACTCAGGATCAGTTCGCGAGGGCCCCATGGAGCCGTGGAGGCAGAATTGTTCTCAGTGCTGAGAAGTGGTAGGGCCAACGGATTCCTGGCACGAGACTGCACGACAACAACCCGCAGGACGGCAAGCCCCGACACCGCCATGAGGGTCAGCGGCACCAGTGGCATGGAGGTTTGAGCAAGCGCGCTTTGCTGCCTTGCTCTGGCTCTCTCCACCTCTTGCGATTCATACTTGTTTACAATGTGCTGCGAAATGTTCTGGACCTCAGCAGTCACATTTACTTCCGGCGTAGCAAAAAGTGGGATAAGGGGCGCCAGCCCTTCTAGAATAGCTCCATAAAAGCCTCCTCCAGCAGATGCAGCTGCTCCATCTGCTGCTCCACCTGCTGCTCCAGCCGCAGGTGCTCCAGCCGCAGCTGCTCCAGCAGAAGGTGCTCCAGAATGCACCGCCTCTTCTTCCCCTGCTGCCCCTTCTGGCCCTTCTGCCTCTTTTGCCCCTTCTGGGTCCTCTTTGGCCTTCTGCTCTTCTTCCACTGCATCCTTGGTTTGCTCCTGCTTGGCTCCTTTGTCCATCTCTTCGGCCTCATCTTCATACACATGGGCGAGTTCTTGCCCCTGTATTTCTGCAGCATATTCTTGGAACAAGTCTTGCATCAACTCCTGCCCACGAAAGTTGCAATACCCGGTCTCAAGAGCAGTCGCAAGCCCTGAGTCACGGTGTGGGGGGGAGTAGCCACAGTCCATCAGTGCTACCTGATACGCTCCTGGCGGCAACTGTTGCTTCGGATGACAAGACTTCATTGCATTCTGCATATATGCTTGCTTGTGCTCGTGAAAGCATCGCGACACACTCCTTGCGAGTGTACAATGCGTGACGAGCCCTGACATCTCCTGACTAATGCACTGCTTCACGTGGAGATGGCCCATGAGATTGCACGCTTCGTTTGCCAGCTTCGCGGTGGCACATGCCGCATAGGGTCGAGTAGGATCCTCCTTCGAAGCATTGAGACCACGTTGAAACATGGCATTTCCCTGCGCCATGCAGATGCCGTTGTCAAGCATGGAATCGATGACCCCTAGAAGGCTGAGATCCGGTGAAGCAGTGAGCACACCACACACATATCCAAGCGCGCAGTTCTTGACATCCTGATCATCTAAGTGCCCGGTTACACCGGGCCACAGAGAGAGAAGAGCAACCACGTTAAGGCATACCATGGCTATTGCAACGTGTTGGGAGTCCAAGAGTTGGCTAAAGGGCTGGTCGCAATCAAAACGCTGCGTCAAGTTCGGCGTCAGCAAGTCCTAACCGGCACAAGGCCGACAGAATGGACTCGTAGGTAAAGGGCGTATGCGACGAAGGGTGCTTGGCTTCTTGAACTTATCTCCGAACACCGTTGGTGAACACAAAGCCACACAAGACAGCAAATGAGCTTCGCAACACATCCAAAGTTTGAATGTTACATTCAGCGGAACTCATGTGGATTGAGGTAGGAAAGCAAATGCTGTTTCTCAACGCGTCTACACCTTTAACCAATCACGTCTCAAATACGGCTTTGGCCATTGTTTTCCAAATCATAACAAGCTTGCGCAATTTCGTATCTTTTCGTGCAATGGGGTTCTCACTAAATGGCTGGCGCCCTCGTTTTCACGAATACTTTTGGTCCTGATTCTGTTAGCACTATCCCCAACTTGTATCTCGGGAAATACACGGGATTTTTTCGGCTGCCAAAAGATATCTTATCTAAAAGTGTGTTTGCGGTTTGCCTTGCTTCTACTATTGTATTAATAGCATTTCCAAGTTATAACCTACCGACTGTAGATTGGCTTTACTCTTTTTTCATCTGCTTCAACCCGCATATCCTTGCAGCTTCTTATGCATCTCTCGGCGAAAGCTGGATGCCCTCGTGTTCTATGTATCTCATGTTTTCACCCTCCAAAGTTCAACAACTATCTTACTATACAATCGCCCATCTTCAATATTTTGGGTAGTCCTTCCATCATTCCTGCTAGTGGTTCTTTCTTCTCAAGAGGTATAACAATAGCATATTTACGAAATGATTAAATATTTGTTGAATACTGATCCGATCGTAAACCTTTTGTTGTTTATGCGTGAAATCAATCCACCTACAGAAATGCAAAAGAGGGAGGGTCTAGCATAAATTCGAACGACATAAAACATTTTCCATGTAGGTGTAAGAAAAGTTCATATACGCGAGACACCAAGAAAACCATAAACAAAGAAGGTGTAACAATCACTGAAGAACATTTAGACACTTCTTGAATTGGATTCGGTAGGGGCAGGACACCAGTTATTCAACCGAGGTCATTGTCATTGGAAGAGAAGATAGAACGCCGGGAAACAAGACTTGGAAAAAATGAAAACTAGACAGATAAGCGAGAATGTTGCTGGTTTCAGAAAGGCAATATCATTAGACGAAATGCTACTTCATTTAGAGGAGACGTAGAAGCACTTATACAATGTCTAATGGGTTCGACGGTTTAGATTGATACTTGAATCTAAGTCGTTTAGATATGATAACAGGGCAGACTTGCCACTTTTGGAAGAATTAGAAGAAACCCCCTATTCCCCTATTGCGACCCTATTGTCTCACATTGGGTGATGTCATGCGAGGGAAATAGTGATGGAAACCTCAGTAACACTGCATAAGATGGTGCATAGTTCGTTTGTGAATATTTGTATACTAGTATGAAAAATCATTCTTTTTATATGACAGTCTATGTAGATAAAATCATTCTATGATTTTATGCCAGTGATGACCATGAATGTGATGCAAACTCGACATTGGGCTTTGCGAGGACTTTCGGAGAAAGCTCGAAATTAGTTGGGGGAAGCTTGTTTTTCATTAGGTATTTAAAGTGGCAGTCTTCGTGCTGGTAGTGGTCGTGGTGACGGTACAGCCATTAGTGGTAATGTTGCTGGCCGCGCTAGGAGTAGGAGTACGAAGATCCCAATAAGCAAAGCTCAGAGTGAAGCTTCGGACATCGTGTAAACAAAGATCCCCCAACAAGCAAAGCTTACAGACTGCGAAGTTTGGGACATCGTGTAGACAAAGATCCCCCAATAAGCAAAGCTTACCAAGCTAAGTTATCATGTCGCTCAGAATTCCAGAACATTCGGTAGGCCTTGACTGGGTTTGGGGTTGTAATCTGTATAATTAGTTAATCCTTTAGGCTTCCGATCTTGTCTGTACGTTCATGTAGATCCGTATCTTGCAAGTTTCGCCTATGTTCTACTGTACAGCTTGTTCATCTTGAGACCTTCCGCGGGACCTTCCGCAGCCACGTCGCTTCCGCAAACCCTTCCGCATCCTTCCGCGCACACAGTCCCAAGCCCATGTCAGGATATCCAAGAGGAATTGTTTCCACGTTAAGAGCGGATAGATCTTCCAAAACAAACCGCAGCTCAGGTGTCGCGATATACACTGCTTTCGTAGTTTAAAAAGACAAAGGAAGTAATTTAGGAGATGGCACGAAGGCATACAAAAATACATGTATTTATAGCTGCCTTTTCAGCGCATTTTAACAAAACTTTTACAAGTTTTAACCTGCAAGTTTTATATAGTAAGATGAGTGATGTAGATGATGAGGATAAAAAACGAAGGCGACAATATTTGTAAGCTGTTTAGAGAAGTTAGAGCTCGTCACGGTGAATTATTGGCTAAGCCTGAGCCAAACAAAAAACCATCGATAAAGCTAATGATGTTCATAAGAATATGAGAAGTGGAAATGTCAGTAAACTGAGCAACAAGGGCTTTCAGTTCCCTAACAAGGGCAAATGCGACGATTATGAGATTAAACACGATGACCAAATGAGAGCATACTGAATACTGCATTTTACAAGAAGAAAAAATTTTGCAAACAAACATAAACCCTTGGATATAAAAAACAAGCAGGAGATACCTAGTTAATTAAACAACGACCTGAACTTGACACAAGTTAAAAGTTATGAACTTATTAGCCGACAATAAACCACAATCGAAGACTGTGCGGTGACGGCTAACAGTAACTATTATGAGAAGAGAAGAGAACAAGAAGAAATGACCATACAATCCACAGTTATTCTTCATAGCACTAATGACTATGTGTCATGAAATTCGAAGGACAGGGATATAGTCTTTGGGCTGATTCTTTATTCGGGTCGCTGGCCCCAGACCTCGTTAGGATATTGATTATGTGATGGATAAGAGTATAGATTGTTTAGATGTTTTGTGCTTTGGGTTGTGCTTCGGACCTTTGTGCTGGTCGCGCCGGCAGACGGATTAGTCCCTGGATTGTTGCGTGTGCTATGTATTGCGGTTTTGGATGTTGAGAAATGAGGCTGAAGCGTAGGGGGGGGGGGCGGGCATCGAGCGTGAGGCCTGGGGTCAGCACTTGGCTGCTGAAACGGGCCACTAGTTTGTGGCCAAGGAAAATTCGAGCGAGTTGGAATTTAGATCTAACGTGCTATAAGTGTTCGAACTCTCACACACAATTCGGCGGACCAGGTGATTACTTAGGGATATCGAGCTCTGACCGTGCCACGGGCGAGATTTCTAAATGAGACGGCGCAGCGGGCGGCTCGTCGGATCGCACTGTCTCCGCACTTGGCGTGACGTGTGTATATGGTTCGGCGTGGGCATATGTGGAACATTAATGCTGATAGCAGTAATAATGACAGCTACAGGAGTTGGCTGAAAGTATTGCTAGAGTGTCTAGAGGAACACAGGTATGTTCGACTCTGCACACGCATGACTACTTTCTGCTGCCTTCTATTCCAAGCAGGATCCTAAGTATTTCAGGACGATCGAGACTCTAGATTTGGCATACGGTGCTGGTGGTGTCGAGAAGGACACGCGATTAGATGCATTAGAGTCAAAACATCAAAGGAAGGAAATGACACGAAGAACAAATGAGACAGTACAGCGTCCAGCGTGAACTACACAGAAGCAGTGAGCGGAAGACGACCAAGTGAAACGCTTAACAGAAAAGGCCTGAAATAGCAGCAGCAGCAGCAGCAACGAGAAAGAGGCGAACCTTACAATCACTGGGTCCCTAGGGTGTTCCGTGGACAACTTGGTTGTATGCCTGGGTTCCAGCTGAATCCCGTGCGCAACATCGTCCCTGCTGTAACGCCGGCTGCAACGGCTGCAGGCACGGTTATCGTGAATTCCTTGCACGCAGTACCAACTACACAAACCGACTATCAGGTGACTACCAATTGCAGTTGTTGCTATGATTGCTTTCAGACCTCTGAAGAACCCGTCTTCATAGACGTGGGCCGCGTGGGTGCGGCTGCTGCCGAGCAACACTGTTGCCTTGAAGGATGCCATCTCCTGAGATGGAGTCTACCCGCGTAAAGCAACATGCAGCTTGCCCCACAAGATGCGCCTGAGGATCAACGTGCCAGATGCTCAAACCTGAAGCCTTCAGGATCCTTCTCTGGCAAAACTTACTCTGCGCACGCCTCGCATGCCTCAGAGACTCCGCCCGCCCTGGAACAACCTTTGGCGGCCTGGGGGGGGGGGGGGGGGGCCCACCGATAATTATACAATGGAGAAGTTCAGGCTCAGCCTTAGACACAGACTTTTCACCGGGCTTTCACCGACAAAGCTTACTTCTGGCAGCACAGCCACTTCGTACGTCGCGCCACCAAGTTCATCTAAGCCGACAAACCTGAACTGCTTTGAGTTTGAGGTGCTTTCGGGAGTCATGGTTGCCATTGTTGTTCTGAACTTTCGTGTCTGACTGCTACAGCTGTCATTTCCGCTACAAGTCTTGGCAGCATTCAATTGAATTCTGCAATGGCTGTCCCTACTCTCGTTGTTTGACCGAGGAATTTCCAGTCGGCTCGCATGCCGGGAATGCCTTAGCAGCTGAACGACGATCTCATGGAGCCACCCTATCACTGTCACTGCTCACTACTGTAAGAAGTCGAGTTTTTTGCTGTTCCTTTGGTTGGAACTCATGGAAGACACAGGTGTCCTGGCTCATCACCTTTACAGCTCGCTTCTTATGATTGCGCCATTTCGTCGAGATGCCCCTCTGTGTACGAGCCTCTGGGTTGGCAGCGATACAGTACATGGAAAGATTGGGACGGGACACAAGAGAGGTTCCAGGAGCTTCCACCCTCAATGGAAAAACTCTGCTAAGGCCGACAAAGATTGAGCGCGAAGGGTTGCAATGTGCTTATCTGTCAGCCATGTTACTGGCGGGCGATGATTGCAATCAACGAGTATGAGACCCTGTAATTGCATACAGTAGCATGTACCTAGAATCTACTCCAACGCCGTTCAACTACCAAACGCCTCAGCTTGAAATCGCAGATCTTACATTCCACAGCTGCAGCACTTTTCGTTCAGCGCAGATAAACGAAGTCGAAGAGGCACGACGGCTGTCGAAACAGAAACTGCTACAGGCTGAAGCAGAGTTTAGCAACATGCCAAAATGTGTCTGTGTAGAGATTTGCCTATCACTATGCGGGTGTAATGCTGAGGAAAATGCCTGGGCCTGGACTTGTGCTTCATTTGCGTGTAGTTTGATACTTCAGATCACGATGGTCTTTTGACAAAGGACGACAATCAATGTAGAGCCTCCCACATGTGGTATCATCTGGTGACAGCTCGACTAGACTGCGGGGCCATCCGAAGCACAGAAAAAAGGCCGCCTAACCCTCAACCCTCTGTCAACACTATCACTTTAGGGCTTTGTGGTAGGGGTGTGCTTATGCTGTTTATCAAGACCAAGTGCACGCTGCATCGAGCCGCCCAATCAGACATTGAAAACTGCAACTAGTGCTTTCGGTATTCGGATCTGGTACCTTATTAGGAACAAAGCCCCATAAATGCCACAGGCCACAAACCCAAACTCTTGAAGAGCTAAATGCATGGGCTGTGTTGGCTCGCTCTGCAAGCTCAGTTGGCAGTGAGGACCAGAATGCACCGGTCTGCAGCAGCACGAACACTTTCCTGATTTGCACGGAAGCAAGTCAAAAGAGTGCCATACCACCACTACAAAGTCAATGCTGCTGTGCTTACATACGTCCAGATCCAAGTACTTCTACTTCTTGCTAGTCGTGACACATGAAGAATATGGGGGCCCTAATAATTAGAATAGGGTCTCGGGGCTCCCTGTACTATAATTACAATAAGGAACCATCTCCAAAATGGTATTGGCAATTATTATGAAGCCCCTAAAATTCCCAACGAAGGGGTCCTTTGGATCGCTCCGCAGCAGCTCCACATCAGCCAAGTAGTTTTTGCCTCGGCGGCCGAGTGCCGGAGGGGACTTGCCGGCAGCTGAAATTTGCGGAGTTATGGAGGGTTTAGAAAAGGGGCCATTTTGGGCTTCTCAACCCTAACCTCTCAGCAGGCTTCAAGCTGCTTCCAAGGAACTAATTTCATGGCCTGTCGATCTCTGTCTGTGTGTCTGTCTCGGTTGCCTGTTGATCTATCTGTCCCTCTGTGTCTGTTTCTTCCATGTGCGTGTGCGTGCCGGTCGGTCTTAGCTTTCGTCCCATGCGAAAGGACCACCGAGTTTCAGGAATTCTGCGCCTGTTAAGGAGTGGGAAGCACTGGAAATTCCGACGCTTCGTTCCAGCAAATGACCGGCTCTACCTTCCCTGCATCATCACTAGATCATACCGCTATCGAGCTGCTTCATTCTACAGGTTGAGAATACCACCCCTCTCAAGTGCCACCTGCGCTGCCCCACCCTCCTACCAGTAGAAGGGCGGACACGAGACCCGAACACCCGGACAAGCACTTAGTTCTGGCAATGGCTACAACTATGACTAACTATGAAAACAAAAGAACACCCAGGAAAGCTACTGTCGCAAGTCGGGTCCGAGAAACCCTCCTCGCGGAAGAGACCAAAGGCCTCGAGAGCTGCAGCACGCACCAGCGGCTCCTCTGCCTTTTGTTTGGTTTTTACCTCCTACTTCAAGTAGCAAGGACGAGGCCTGCATTGCAGGGTATGAGGGGGGTTCGGGGGTTTAGAGGTTTAGGGTTTCGACTCGCACAATCGTAAAGCAGGCACGGATTCAGGCGGAAGGTAGAGCGGCACGAGGCTTGCTACAGTAACATGCGAAAGCTTCCAGTTGGGCACCAAGAACAATCAAGAGGCAAATCAATCATGTAAGAACCTAAGGCCATAAGAACTCACCCCTAAGACATGTACAAGCTTTCGCATCCCAAAGGGCGAATAACCTGCACTGTAAGTTACAAGTAGCAGTACAACAGGATGTCAACCACCGGAACATAGAAACCCCAATCAAACGACCGAATGGTTGATCTTGTACTCAAATTCCAGCCGCACATGTGGCAGCTGGCAGTTCTCCCCCCGTTGCAAAAATGTAGCTATGATGATCACCTCGAAACTGTCTTTACCATTGAGAGGCACGAGAAAACAATCCGCTATAGTCCAGAGAACGACAGCCTTTAGGGGTTAAGGGCTTAGGACTCGGACAAGGCAAGCCGGGATCACTGCCATCACCTGTTTTAATTGCTATCACCTCGGCCGTTCTTCGATTTTTGTTCTATCACTCGTGCGGGCTGCAATCTTGGGTGAGACTTGTAAAACTACACTGCAGCCATTCACCGCAATCGGCTGTCCCTTTAGACGCTGTCTGCAGTGACTGCAGATTTCGGAGATGCCATCTGCTTTTTGCCTTTCACGGGCTTTGGAGACTGATCAGCGGAGCTCTCTGCAACCACATTGCCATTTCCACATTTCCAAACAACATCAATCTGAGAGCCGTCCTCGCGCTCGGCACTGTAGAAGCAAGTCCGCGGCCTTCGCTTGTCCCGGGATTCTACAGGAAGTGCCACACCTGGGAGTTTCAGAAAAGAAAAGAAGGGGCGCTAAGTCATGTAGCACCAGACATGATACGGATCACTAGTTACACAAAGGACACCTCAAATAGCGCAACCCTAACATTGATGATGCCCCCCCACCTCGATTCGAGACGTGCTCTCTGAGAATGCTTTGGACCAGCTGAGACTCCCTTTCGTCGAAATTCATGAGCGGCTTCTCAAGCACAAGTATTTCGGGATTCACAACCAGGGCTCGTGCGATGTGCAATTTCGCCTTTTCCTGGAAGGACAAGGCATCCTTCCAACCGCTCAAGACGGACTGCAGCCTCTGGTCTCGCGTACTGCCTTGAGAAGGTGTCCATTGCTCATAAGGTTGTGGTTCCACCTTCCCACTTGTGCCGCAACAGCCAGTCTCCACCGCCTCCTCTTCCGAAATAGGCTCCTGCAAAATACTAACTTCGGTTTCAGCGAACTCTCGAGTTCGCGACATCCGCAGCTTCTCCAGAATGCGCATCACACGATCGCGATCTTCGTGCTGTGCGACGGCGAGAGGATCACCAAAGAAGAGGTTCTGCAAAGGAGACGTATTCATCACGACTACCTGATGAGTCACCAACAAGCATCGCAAATGCGAGGGCATAATCACCTTGCCACTGGTCGGCGCAAGTCCACCGGCCAGTAACCTGATCAGCTTCGTTTTTCCTGATCCATGTTCGCCTTGCAAGGCTATCAGCTTCCCCTGCTCGACCGATATATTCACATTGCGCAGGAGTTCTCTTTGCCCTCCTGCGTTGAAAGATACGTTTTCCAAGTGAATTGGAATCATGTCAGTGCGGACCATGCCGGGAGGAGTTGGCGTTGACAGCTGCAGCAATCGAGTCCGCTGTTGATTGGTCTCTACAATCCGCCTGTTTACCGACTCTTTCAAATCTCTGACATCGGTAGAGCGATTGAAGAACACGGCGATGTCGATTAAGGGCTCAAACTTAGAAAGAACGCTCTTCATCACCGAATAGCCATCTGCGAAGTTCGAGGCGACTTCCTTGAAAACAGAAATAGTCGCCAAAAACGTTCCCAGGGAAAGCTGGTGATCGATCACTTGCTGAGCATAGAAGCACAAGTAGAACCCGGCAAAAAGCGGCCCCAACCAAGCGAAAAAGAACTCGCTGCGCATGGAATAGATTCCCAAAGGCTCTTGGACCTCGGAGAGTTTAGTCACGCGCTCTGCGAACTCTTCGTTCATGGCAGGTCGCTGGAAGTAGGCAGCTACTAGAGGGTAGTATTCGCTGATAGAGCTCACCAGTTCGGCGACCCTCCTCTTGTAGGGGCTGTCTTCCTCAGGCTTTGTCAACCACCTCTGTCGCAGAAGCACCCAGAGAGTCATGACCACGGGCATTGCAACCACAGCCCAAAGCATGCCAGGATCGCTGGAAACCGCAAAATAGTTCAGCATGACCAACCTTCCGAGTGTCTCTAGCATGGAAGACATATTGTCCAGGCTGGCCGAAAGCTCCATCGCTTTCGCGGTCACGATCCTCTGAACTTCGTTTGGCGAAACTGCTGCCCTAGAGTCCTCGCTGAAGTTCATGTACTTCCGCATCAAGCTGGTCTGCAAATAGAAACTGCAACGCCCTGCAATGTCCATTCTCGTCTTGGCTTCCTTGAAGAAGTGCAGCAGCAAGGGGAGGCCTATGTACATCAAGCCGAGCAACTTGGCCGTCCCAACGGCATCGCCCGGGATGACTAGTCTGTCTTCAGCGTCCTCTCCGCCAAATATGACATTCACCATGTAGACGGAAGCGACGAGCCCAAACCAAACATATGCATTTTTAAGCTGGTCCAAGAGCAAGGTCACAGCAAATC